AAAAACCGAAATTGTTTGTTGACATGGTCTTTGAAGCAACCAGGATAAAAAAAGAGAATAGATGTGATGGGACTAATGGAAAATAGTATTCATAACATAGTAACTTTTAATTTGTATTTTAAATTTCTAAAGCTTACAGTAAGTCTAAAATGAGAACTTTTAAATTTTCAAAAATCAGACTATGAAGATATGAAGCAGAGTGCTCCTAACTGGTGAAATGGTGGATCAGTTGGAGAAACATAGCTATACATCAGAAACATACCCGTAAGGCTCAAAACATACTCATCCCTTAAATGTATCCACAAAAATGCTTTAATGGAGAAAGCAAAAAAGGCAGAAGGAAAAGAGTACCCTACAGACTGCATCAAAGACCTCAAGATCCAAATACAAAAATAGAGCACAACAGACTGCAGGAACTACAAGAGCAGCAGATGAAAGATGTTAGAATTGATAACAGAACATAGTGATAGAGACCAAACTATTTTTAACTATAAAAGTGAAAACAGCTTTTTAGGTTTTAGGGGGATCAATAACAGAATATTTTAAAAATAAATATTGTAAATATAGGAAATATGATAAAAATTGTCAATGACAATCTATCCATTATAAGTTCACAACAGTTCTTATAACTACCATCTAGTCTGTTCTGTTCTTAGTACTTAAGAGATCCGAGTATCTCATTCACCCATTTCTTGAAGAAAAGAAGGAAACCAGAGTATCGTCTTCAACAATATGGCTGTGCAGCATGTTCCATAGTCCTTAGTTCTTGAGTCCATAGTGCTTGAGTGAAGAACTGCCTCCTGTTCTCTGTTTTAAACGTACTAACAAGCAGTTTCAGCTTGTGCCCTGGTTTTTCTTTTCCTGACTGATTCTAGAGAACCTGTGTCTTTTCTGTGGTGACTAACAATGTAGATAACATTCTATTTCAGACTATACTTATGCATCATACAATTTTAACATCAAATCCTTTAATTTAAAGTCTATGGTTTTATATTGTATATCCTATCATTTTGTTTGCCTACTTTCTTGTTCAACCATATTTTCTACAAGATGTAGATGATGTATAAAGCTTCTTCTACCTCAGTTTCCCATTTTGTATTTAGAATTTATTTTTAATACCAGCGTGCAAAACCCTGCACTTGCATACATTTGTCATCATTTGCCAGATGTTTGTCGTTGTGAAATTTACCTAAATCTTTTTGAATTTCACTTGCTGCTTGACAGTGTCCAATAATTCTACTAATAAACTGCATTGGGTTACAAACTCTTCCAGAACCAAGGTCATTGACATACGAATAGTGGTCCTAGTACAGAGCCCATTAATAGTAGTCCATTAATCACATCATTAAATTGTGACTCCATTATCTCTGTTTTCTATTTAATAATTCTCATTCAAAATACTCAAATTTTCCTGAATGGCTAACACCTGCAATTTGAAAATTAATATTTTATGGGGAACCTCATCAAACCATTCTGTGAATGTAAATATACCATATCATATGATACTATTTCCGTAAAGGTGATCCTCTAGTTTAGTTCTTATAATCATTTCCATTATCTTACATGTAACAGAAGTCAGACTTTTTGCTCTATACTTGGTTTAGTTTTCTCATTTTTCTATGGATAGGTACTGCATTAGCGATTCTCCAGTTCATGCATACTACTCCTTTCTAGAGAGACTGCTGAAAAAGCTGGCTTTTGAATACAATCTCGCATTTCCCTGCATACAATTGTGAAGATACTGTTTATTTATTACTCTGGGAATTTATTAGTCTTGAGTGCTTCTAGTACCCAAACCATTTTTCTTTCTTCAACACTAATACTATCCAGTTCAGAATCTTGTATTTCGGCAGCCTGAGGAACGTTGTTGACTTCTTCCTTAACGAAGACCTGAGTGAAATACATGTTTAGATAGATACTTTATTAATCCTGTGGGCGAAATTGCAAAGTAGTTTAGTACGCTCCTTTCCCTTTCGTCGTCTATACAGTAAGTATCTAATTTTTGTCCACGATATATTTCATTTTATCCTCTGAGGGTCCTTTTGTTGTAGTAGTACTGGAATAACTTTTTTTATAATGGCGACACATTGTACTGTTTTGCTTTAACCAAGTTCTGTTGTTTTTTAATAATTTTATAATTCACTTTTCCCGTACATTTTACCATATTGATTTGTTATACATTTTGGAACAGTTTTTTAGCTTTATTTACTCACAGCATTTACTCACTTTTGGGACAAATTTATTTTGTGCTTCAAGTAGAATCTGTTGCTAATCATTTTCCACCAATTTCATATGTATCCTATCCCATTTAATTTCCTAAAGCTGTGTCTTAAAGCCTGCTTTCTGGAAACTTGACATTTTACTTGGACTCAACCTCAACAGTTGGTTCTCTTACCTCTGTCTGCCTGTCTTGTTTGTCTGAAATATCTATATAAGCATTTACTTTTGTAGCTGCTTTGATAAACAATGTAATAGAGCAGTCAAAAACGATGTTTACCACCAGTTTTCGCTGGTGATATCCTCAAAGGCCTTTCTCAGTCTATGATGGGAAAATTGAAGTCTCCCATAAAAACTACTTCTATGCACTTAAACTCTTATTTTGTATTATACAGTGTTGAATTACAATTCATATCTGCATTTGGTGGTCTGTTGCATACTCTTAACACTATACCTTTGAAACATGTATAGGCTGCTCCACATAGATTTAGGGATTCTTGATTCTTTTAGCTTGCAGTCCTTAACATGAATGCTCTTTTTTATACTTTGTGCTATACTTCCCCATCTTCCGTTTCTCCTGTATCTCTTAAACAGAGTGTACCTACCCATGTCACATTTCTCCCCATCATTTTCTATTAGCCCGATTACTGTGCTTCCAATAACATCATAATTGCCTGCTAATGTGGTAGCTTCTATCTTGCCTAATTATTTTCTCGTACTCCCGGCATTTAGGTATAAGCACTTAATTACCTGATCATTTGTTTTGTTTTTCCTTTTCAATTTCCCTTGGTCTTTATTGCCCATGTAACTTCCAATTCAATTATCTTTAGTTTCTCCCCTTCCATTTTAGTTCACAAGGTGCCCATCTCATTTAGATGTAGTCCATCACATTTATATAGATGCCCATTGCCATGCAGAGGTTTCCAGTGGCGCAGAAAGATGAAGCCTCTGTCTGCACACAAAGTCCTCATCCCTGTGCTGTGTTGATTAATGAATGTTTATAATTGTTAACCTTTGCCTGGTGCTGGAAGACGGAGATTATAGAAGGAGTTCAAAAAGTTACAAGACTTATGTTCTTATGATCCCAGGCCTCAGGGAATTGTCATATACAGATAGATCAATGAAACTAAATCTCTTGAATCTCAAATTAAGATTGAAAGGAGGCTTGATCCAAATATATAAAATCCTAAATGTACAGCAGATGTGGTAAACCCAGGGAACTGTTTCACACTCAGCAGTGAAACAAGAACAAAGGGTCATTCCTGGAACCTGAAGCGGAATCCATTTAGAACAAAAAACAGGACATATTTCTTTATGCAAGGAGTTATGGGTATACAGAACAAGCCTGTCAGCCAGGTGGTTATGGTCTCTTAATAAATGGCTGGATGAAAATTTAAACTCACTCAGCTATTAAACTACCAAATACATGTAAGTTAAATGGACCTAAGCTTCCTGTCATCTGCATCCAGGTCTTGTTCTTATGGCAAGACCATCCCTCAGCCTGAAAAAAATCATTCTGTTGCTGTTTCTTAACATATGACTGATGATGCTCATTTATTATCACAGGACGTTAATGCAGCATAGTTATGTCAAGCGGTAATGAAATTCAATTGTGTACAGGCTTATGCAGTTCTGATTGAAATGCTACAAGAAGAATGTTTCCTAATTGTATTCATGAATGTTTGATATGAATCGAGAACCACTGAATCGCTTTCTCTGGCGGTAAAATAAAACTTACCTTGAAGCAACACATTGACAAGTGAAAAGATCAATAAAAATCAAATTACTGAACCAGAGAAAAGTCTAGCGGCAAGTCTGCGATTGCTCAGTTTTGAGGTGAAGGAGAGACTACAGCTGCCTGAGACAGCCTTGCTGAAAGACTTTGCTTTCCACAGCGGAGCAAGACCTTGAGATCTTTGTAAGTAAGCTGAAGTGCATGTGTTTGTATGCAGCACTTAAATTATGTACCAGGGGTGCTTCCTGTGCGGAGTTTTTATGTTCTCCCCATTCTTACAAGTCTTTAAATAAAATACAGTTCCTCATTTGTATTACTCATCACAGTTGTGATATTTTATTGGTTCTTAAGGACACATCTAAAATTTTGCTACAAAGAAGAACTCAAAAGCCACAAGAAAAACATTCTCCACTGAAATTTATTGTTAATGGACTTTGATATTTCAGCTTTAATACATTAACATTAACATTAATGGACCCATCTGCTGCTCCAGTATGGAGAGAACATAGATATTAAGAGTAATTACATGGAGAATAGTTACAGACATATTTTCCTACAGGAAAGATAGTACTGTCTGTGGGATTTTAGTACCATTGATTTTCTCAGAAACTCAAGCTTTCTTAAAGACAATGCATTTCCCATATGACATAAATGTGTGCATAAGCTGCAGCTGTTAGAATTGTCCTGAGTCTACAGTACTTGGAACATTAATCCAAACTCCCAAAGTCAGCTGACAGAACAGCAACAACACAAGGTGGAATTATTGCAGGAGAATTATTATTTTTAACCGTGTTTCATCTTTATGTCAATGAAGGTCTTTTTTTTACTATTGCAACAGTGGTTGTGAAATGACTAATTTCACATGTGCTTCAGATTCACACAAAGCTCCCCAGAGAAGTAAGCAGGGTTTAGGAACATCACACCTAAATCAGATTACTTCCCAAAACCAGATGGGCTCATAGCGCACAGCAATTAAATATAGCTGACAGGATCACTGTGTTCTGAAGTCTGACCCTCGTGGAAATGAATATGCAGTGTTGTTTCCTACCTGACACACGTGCCTCCATTGCGACAGGGGTTGTGCTGGCAGACAGGGGTGTTGCAGTTCTCAATGTTTCTCCCTCTCACTGCTTCCTCCACAATACAGAGCTCCTTTGTATTCACTTGCAGCTCTCTAATGCAACCAAGAAAGCCAATTACCTCCCCAGCTCCATCGTGCAGTTCAGAATGTGAGGGAATATCTCCGAGGAATAGTGGGCCAAAAGTAACCTAGGTTTTGTGAATATGAAATGAAAAACAAATAAGGTTGTTTCATACCCGTTATACCATTATTGGGAACAATACTATACAATTTTTCTCAGAAATTACCCTCTGAACACACATCATCACTTTTCCTATTTTTTAAGCTCCTTCCTTCCACCTTAATGAGATTTTTAGTAGGTTATGTTTCATCTAATAAATAATGAAGACACAGACTGTTTTCTCATTGTTTTGTGCCATGCATGTTCCTGTCTTAAATGTTTTCTCATGTTATAAAGAGTAACTGCTATCCAGGCTTTGTATGGGAATCTCCATATGTAGATTAATTAATTTACATTGATATTTATTTCTTGAAGACTTCCAGAAAAAAACCCATGTTGTTTTTTTTTAAATGCTGCAGTGTTTGTAAACTGCTGATTCGGTATATTAACCAACACCATGCATAAAGTCAAAAACTTTAATAATAGTCAGGTTTCCAATAATCCAATTAAAATATGTAGCACACAATAAGTGATGAGACCTCATGTGAACTTGTACAGTAATTAAACATTGCTCTGATGTGGCAATTTTATTTGATTTTATTTGGGAAATGCACAAATCACTGTCTCAGATTTCTTCAGAGAGGTCTGCTAATTATCTGACAGGGCTCACCAATCAAAATGTCTCTAGTTTTTTGACAAGCTGTGCTCAGTGTAATTACTTAAGCTCAGAACACCTCAGGTTTCATTGAAATTATAACTACAAATGCCATATTGTACGTGGAACTTTAAGTCAAAGAGAAGCATATATTTCTTTTAAAATATTTTGGGTTAAAGTCCGTCACAGTGTATTGGTGAGACTTTAAAAGCACAATTCGATTTTTGTTTTATATGTGGCATTTTTGTTTCACCGTATCATCTAGTATCACAGGAAATTGAAAAAGTAATTATTATACAAATGTAAAGTGAGATACGTGTAAAAAGCAGAGTGACTAAACCCTGTACTGTAATGTAATCAAGATGGACTAAAACTCCAGATCAAAACCCAAGCAGCTGAATTTTTCTGGGTCAAATTAAGTTAAAAAATCTGGTTGTCTATAGATTGTTCTTAGTATTTGATACCTGTATTTCATTATTAATACTGAAAAATTTAACATTGTAATGCAGTAATGTATTTTAACATAGTCGAAAAATGCAGTGTTCGTTTGTCAAATTAGATATTTATGAAACTTTTAATCCTGAATCAGTTTTGAAATTAACCATGTTAAAATAGGATATCTAATACATACATATATATATATACAATATATATGTACATAATGACAGTACATCTTCCATTATGTCTGCCATGTCAACATCTTTCATCACAATTAGAAAACGTGTAACAGATAGTGACACTTAAAAAACAGTGGATGTATTTTACCACTTTGGTATGAGTAATATGTCTGACATAAAATCTAGACATTTTGTAATAATTTGACTAAATCTGGTTGCAAAAGTTGAGCTGGAATATCAGGCCATATTTCTTTTAGAGATTCCTGTGTATTTCCCTGCTGAGCTCCAATTTAATATATATATATATTATAGATTTTCTGTGACATATAAATAAGCTGCAATAGATTTTTAAAAGTAATAATTTAATGACAAATCTTCTGGTAAGAAATCAGATTTTTGCTGAGTAGTAAACAACACTGGCATAAAATTACATCAGCGGCACCTTGTTGCTGAATTCTGAAATCCTGCTTGCTGAACTTAACTTGAAACATTCCACTGGGACAAGACTACTGCACTGCTTTATGCAAAGCAAAAACAAATGTGTCTGATCATACTGTTATTTAACATGCAAGGCACTTCTAAAGTAATGGAACTTGTACGATGTGTAATAATGCTGATGAAAAACCAGCCTTAGCAAAAATATTTTCTATATTTAAACACTCCACACTCTCACCATGCTGATCAAACAGAATGCATTTTTCTATTAAACAACAAAGTTTTGTTACCTCTGACACACGTTGGTGCAGGTATTCTTTCTGCAGTGTAAGAGGACCATTATCCACAGCTACTCCTATAATACAGTGTCCTCCATTTGTACCAACAGGCAGCTGATATCTGTGGAGGAGAGAGAGAAAAAAAATCTCATTAAAATATGCGCCATTCACAATAAATCCATTTGACCATGAAAATTATGCAGACTTGAGAGGAGAATCTTGTAATGGGAGTCTCTGTGAATGCTGACACTCAGATTTCAAATGCATTACTCTGTCAATTCGTAGCCACAGACCTGGACAGGGTGAAATGCCAAGGGAGAAGAGTTTTTTATCTTTTTTTTTTCTTAGCATGATATAACGTCGTGATGGATCTTACAGTGCAGTGCTGAGCAGTAAAGAGGGGTATTTGACATATGATTAATTCAGAAAAAAACAGTTTTTTCTTATTCTTTTCAAAGGGTACAAGTGAAGTAATTTTCTGTTTCACTGCTATCTGCCAAGGTTATAGGATGAGGAAGAACATATTATTACAATAAGTAAGGTTAAATGCTTTGTATGTGTGAGGGGCTGCAATATAAGCATTATTACTATTAGTAATACTAAATAATACTCCTGCTGGAGCAGTTACTACTACAAACATTATCCCTCCTATGGCTATTAGTAACATAATACTCAACCAACATTTAAAATATGTAGAAAGGATCAACACTACTGAAGCAGCAATAAAATAAATGTGACATTTTTAATGTGTGATTTTCTGGAGCACACTGCTTCATTCAAGTAAACGATTCTGGGTGCTGTGGCTTATATGATCAATAGAAGCTTTAGAACAATTGCAGGCTGCCACCTCTCAGCATCTGACTGAGCAGACTTATCATCTGTCATTTTTAAAGCCCAGTGCACAGCCAGCCAACTCTGAGTGTCATTCTCCCCAAACATAAACACCTTCTCAAGCAAGCAGACACATGGCAGAACCCCAGCATCATATCGTCACATACAACCACTGCATCAACCCAGAACACAACCTGGGCATAAACTGATGTATCTGGAATGGCATGCAGAGGCAGAATGACATATAGCACATCATGTTATGCTATACATGACACAGGGGGCAGCTTGACCTTTCAGGCAATGACATGCCCAGACATTACAAGCTAAGACTACTATTTTGAAATTACAAGTTAAATGTATGCAATCATAAAATCCAGCAGAAATACTACAGAATAGGGTGTAAATCAAATGCCTCTTTCAAAATTAATATTTTATCATAGCCAGAAGCTAATCAAAGACAGACTTGTTCGTTATTGAAATGGGAGACTTCTAAGCACTGCAGTAACTTTTCTGACATTAGGCTGCTGCTTTGAGTGGTGTTAATTGACCACTAGGTGGTTCTCTTCCTTCTTGACCAGAATTTCTGACGCTGTCTTGATGGTAAACTGTGGTTCAAACTGTAAGAGTGGGGAGGTGACCCTGATGTCCTAACTAGACACTCTGGGTTTGAACGATCTGGCCTACCTAGAGTTCACCCTTAATTGCACTGGTCAAGCAAATTCTCACTTCTCTACCTGGTCTGTTTTGAGTTGGGCTGCTGGCTTATAACACTATCATGTGTCATGTAAATGCTTTTTTTTACACAGATTACTTTTCCAAAGGAAGGTTGTGGGAAGAAGGGTCCCTGTGACTTCACTAGCTGACTCTGGATCTTTCCCTCTTCCCAAGATGTCAGTTCAGAAGAGTGGTGCCAGGATTCCCTGGCTTTTCTCCGTTTTAAAAGGGCTTCCTCCTAGTTTATATTACTGTTCTCTGTCGATTCTGAAGTCCATAGGACCAATGTTGCCATTGTCTTTGAGAATTTTGAATACTCTGAATCAGGTCCCCACACTGAATTTTGGATTGATTTCAGAGGATTTCAAGATTCGTTTCTTTTTGTGGTGACCAAGTCTAAGCAGAATATTCAAAATGAGTACTGTACTGCAGTGGTACCCAGACCAGGTCCTGGAGGAGCACTGCCTTCTAGGTTTTTCTTTAGCTGATTTCAGTTTTCTCTTCGGGACTTATTTTAAAATTTGCTTTCAGCTTTAAAATAGTCAAATGGGATTTATAATTGGATTTATATTTTGTTATGCAAGTTTTAGCTCATTAAGGTTTGTTGCCTGAAACGTAATAAATCTTTCTTCTGCAAAAGGAAAAAAAAGCTAATCAAATCTGTTCCTCACAAAGGGATGAGCTAATAATGGACTGGCACCCTGGCCAGGGTGGACCCTACCTTGTGCAGTGCCAGGCTCTGGCTCCTCTGCGACCCTGAATTTAATGAAGTGGTTAAAAAATGGATGTATGCATTATATCTTAAATTCTGTGTCTTTTTTTATTCTCATCATCGTCTAGAAAATGAAAACGACATGTCAACATAAACACTTAAGTCTTTTTCATAAGCAGCTTCTTCATCTTTCATCTTATATTTATAGGATGTTTTTGCAAATTGCATGTAACACTAATTCCTGTCTACATTAAATGCCATCTGACAGATGTTTTAAATCAAACATGACCTAAATCATTTTGAACATCCTTTGCTTTGAATATCATATATAATGTTCGTTAATACTTGTGTTCTGGTTTGGCACATGTTTGCCAAGTTTATCACAAATTTAGATCATTGATATAAATTAGCAAGAGCAAAGGTACTCAAAGCTCAAACTGGGGTGACACTGTCACCTCAGTTTGAGCATTCAAGTCTTATACAGTATGTTCTCCTAGTTTTATATCCATTAACAAGTTCTAAACGTAAATACATGTCCTTTTGCGAATTACTACCTCCTGCAATTTGAGACCTAGTCTTTTATGAGAAAAGGAACTTTAACTACAGATGTCTGAAAATTATTATGTGCTCTGACTATAGTGATCACTGCTGCTGCCCGTTCAAAGGCCTCCAATTGATTATTCAAAATCTGCCTTTTCTCAATTTTGTTGATTATTCTTTAGAATCTCTTTTACATAAAATGATCTTCTAGATTTGTTTTAATGATCATTTCCAAAAGCTTACACATAATAGCAATGATACTAGAATAAATAGATGTAAGTGGCTCATGTGAGTATGTTTGTTCAAGTGATTTACCTCCGCACTAAAGCTGGCCCTTAGCAATCATTTGTGCCCACAGTAGATTTAGGGCTCGTAAATCTTATATTTGATGGTATTGCATGTACGATCTTTGAGATAAAATTCTAATCTAAAGTTGCCCAATAACACCATTTCATGATTGTGAATATTTTATAAATAAAAAAAGCTTCCGACAGTAAATATCCCTTACCTAAAATACATGTACGTATGCAATACAATTCTAAATCTAGCACAGCTCACACTGTTCATGAGAAGAGAACAGTGAAATATTGCCTTCAAGTGCAGCTCTGCCCTCTTTCTCCGCTGCTATATCAACGGAATAACAAGAGCAGTCTAAATTATACATGGCAAAAGGACAATTACAATGACTGAAGCTTCAACAATTTTGTCACTCTTGTGTTATGAAATCCATGTCAGAATGTCACTACCCTCCCACTCCCACCTCCGTGCCTCCGGCTCTCCGTGGTCTTTAAAATACAGTGCTTGCAACTGTGCTTGGTGCAGGAAGACAAAAGAGAAATGCATCCACTGATTGTGCCATTTCACTGAACTTGAAGAAACGGATTTAATCCTTTATCTTTGTTTTCTTGTAATTGAAAAGAAAAACAACTGCAACCATTTTTATAGTTAAACCTACTGTTAACAACTGAAGTGTATTAACATTCTCATATTAGCATTCCAGACTTAGTGGTACACTCCTAGTTTCATGTTGGCCATTGTGAGTGTTTATAAACAATCTTAAGAGTACACACAATAACAGAGTCAGTCCTATATAAATCTGGTATTAAGTTAAATTTTCCTTTAAGTCTTCCTAATAATTTAAGGGTGTTGTACAATGGTGAGCATAGAAATCAGTATTAATAAGGAAAGAAGAATCTTTATTTTATTCTTGTGGAATTTGTTCAACAGGCCACTGGTTTAAAGGGGGGCATTCCCTTAAGTGGAGTTTTCCATTTCATCAATTTTTGTCTGAAATGACAATCCTATGCCTAATTTATTCTCACAGCAGTCTGTGGCTATTTTATAAAGTATGACACATTGCACATTCACAGAATTTCATTGTCCTGTATTGAGGTCTGTTTTTCTAACAACGTTTGGTGAAATTGTCTCTTAAACGATCAGATGAGAGTAATCAAAGCAATCCGGCTCATGCTAATTGTGCATCACCCGCCTGGATCTCTACCAGAAACTAATCAAAGACCACCTGCCTCAGGTGGGACTAATTATAGTTCAGAAAGTTTGAAGAGCAGTTTTGCATATAGAACACCAAATTAACAAGAAAACCCACAAGCAAATCAAATATAGACTCTAATGTTCAGCTGTTTATTGCATAAGAATTATAAACGTAAGCACACATTCTTTCTTTTGTGGGGTCTCTGATAGTGATAGAAATGTGCATATTCATGAAATTAAAGCTTCCTTTTCTAACAACTGAACATATTTTAAAACAACATTGACAGTGCTAAAATAACTGCCAGAACAATCATTAGACAAACTTTAAGTCTGTCAATCAAAGTGGTGAGAGATTCAGAGGTTTTTGGATAACTCATTTTCTTCCTTCATCTTGGTCCTTATTTTTTGGTTAACACTTGTTTAATTTCCTTTGGCTCACATCCAGAGATTTCTCACAAAGTTCACAGCATGATTTTATGTGTTCGTAGAACCACTGGACTCTGAGCTCAGACCACCAAAGTCATTTACATTGCTTTTGCCCGAAGGCAAGTCTGAACCCGGATCTCCAATGGTAGAGAGAATGACAGTCCAGTAAATCAATCCTTTTTGCTTCACGGACCTTTTTTTGACTGTTCTGACTTTTCAAATGCCTAAAAGGCACAGAATTACGTCTTTCGTCTTTTCTTTAAGGCTATTTAAACAATGATTCACCTTAAATTGTTTCAAAAGCAGAACACCTTTTCGTAATTCAATTTCTTAAAAGGTTTTTCTAAGCCTTACAGAGAAGGCAGTAAGCTGACATTTTCCACTCTAACCACCCAAACTGAAATAAG